TGAGTGCTCTATCCATGCACCTCCCTCAACTACTTAAGATGGCAATATTTCCCCCTTCCTCTCCCTTGGAATTTTCTCTTTTATGAAAAGACATGACCTTGTCACATTCTTTCCTTCTTTTCAAAGAACATAAGGTGATTGTTATTTGTATTCCAAAAGAAGGAGTTCATAAGCCCAATTACCTAGAAAGAACCTCAGAAGACTTCTAGTCAACCCACTTATTTTACAGATGAGGAAACTGAAGGCTAAGGAGGTTGTGAGTTGGCCCCAGGTTACTCAGATACTTTGTCAGAAGTAGGGTCTGACCATAGTCTGCTCACTCCAGAGCCAGTACTTTTCCCACTCTACCACATTGATTTTACTGAAACCCTTCAGACTTGGGTTCAGATCTTCTCTTTTCTTTGTGTCTTTCCTACCTCTCCTGCCTTCCTGTGGACATCTCTCTCATTCTTATGACTTTCTGAAGATCTCAAGTATATTTTTGCTTCCCATGCTTTTATTCCTCATTTCACAATCCTATAGGCATTTTTACATCTCCAATTCATATATGATTCAAAATCAACATAAATGAAAATGTACTGATGTGTCATGTCCCTGCCCAAGAACCTCTAGAATTCTTATCATCCCTGAGGATGACATCTGATACTTGGCATTTAAATATGATACTAGCTTATTTATCTAACTCCCCATGCATACTCTATCTAGCTATATTGAAGTTCTTACCATTCCTCCTATATGACATTTTATCTCCTTTGTCTATGCCTTGGCACAATGTGTTCTCTAAGCCTGGAATGTTTTTCTCCTCATCTCTGCTTCCAGTAGTCCTTAGTCCCTTTCAATTTTCAGTTCAGGTGCCTTTTGATTCAGTCAGTCAATAAGTATTTATTAAGTATGTACTATATGCAAGGTACTATGTTAAGTGCTAGGGATACAAAAAAAAAAGCAAAAGAAAGTCCCTGCCCTCAAGGAGCTTACAATCTAATGAGACAATAAGCAAACAAACATATCCAAACCAGCTGTATACAGGACAAATATGGAAAAATTGAAAGAGAGAAGGCATTAGAATTAAAAATGGTTGGGGAAGTCTTCTTGTAGAAGATGGGATTTTTGTGTTGACTTAAGGGAAGCCAGGGAAGCCAGTAAATAGAAATGAGAGGAGAGAGAACATTCCAGGCATTGGGGGGGGAGGGGGACATCCAGAGGGAATGCCCAGAGCCAAAAGATTGTCTTGTTCATGGGACAGCATGAATTATCAGGGCCACTGGATCAAAGAGTATGTGTCAGGGAGTAAGGTGTAAGAAGACTGGGAAGTTGAAGGGTTAGGTTATGAAAGGCTTTGAACACCAACAGAAGATTTTGTATTTGATCCTTGAAGTGATGGGAGCAACTGGAGTTTGTGGAGTCAGGTAGGTGAAATGGTCGGGCCTATGCTTAGGAAAATCACTTTGGTGGCTGAATGAAGGATGGATTGGAGTGGAGAAAGACTTGAGACAGGCAGACTCACCAGCTATTACTATGGTTCAGGTCTGAGGTAATGAGAAGCCTGCACCAGAATGGCAGACAGAAGGGGTCATATCCAGGAGATGTTTCAAAGGTGAAATTGACAAGCCTTGGCAACAAAGTGGATATGAGGGGTGAGAGATAGTGAGGAGTCAAAGATGACTGGAGCTCAGCACAGATGTTAGGGCAGGATAGGTAGATTTGAGAATCATCCATATAGAGACAGTAATTAAATCCATGACGGCTGATGAAGTTCACCAGGTGAAGTAGCGTAGAGAAAGAAGAGAAGAGCTCCCAGGACAGGGACATTTATGGTTAGATGATGTGATCTGGATAAGGATGTAGCAAAGCATATTGAGAAGCAGTGTTCTGAGATGTAGGAGGAAAATCAGGAGAGCAGAGTTCTGAAAACCTAGGGAGAACAGAGCATCAAGAATAGAATGATCAACAGCGGCAAAGGCTACAGAGACATCAAGAAGAGTGAGGATTGAGGAAAGGCCATTGGATTCTCCTAGTCAGTATTTATTACCTGAAATTACTGGATTTTTGCTTGTCTGTGCACATAGTTTATCCCCACAGTATAATATTATATGTAAAATTGAGTATTATACATTGTACAATAGTATATATAATACTATAATTATATAACATAATAGTATATTATATACACAATTGTACAATGTATAATTTTTTTTAGGGCAGAGACTGTTTCACTCTTGTCTTAGAATTTATCTCTAGTGCCTTGCACTTAGTTGGTACAAATTTTTTTAGTGTCTTCCATAAGAATTAGTGTTTTACTTGTGATGTGGTAAGTGCTTAGTAAATATTTGCTCTTGTTTAAAGAAGGGCAGCATGTCTGGAGATGGTGGTTGTTACCTGTCACCTCAGCTACAAAGAAGGCTGAAGCTAGCACATCTCTTGAGCTCCACAGTTCTGAACTGCAATTGGTTACAGTGATGGTGTTTGTCACTGTTAGAAATCAGTACAGTGAGACCTTGGAGGGAAAGGGGAACCATATTCCCTAAGGAAAGGCAAACCTTCCAAGATCAGAAACAGAGTGGATCAGAGCTGATCCTATGCTGTCCATTAGTGGGATTGGAACTGTGAATAGTCCCTGACTTTCCATCCTGAACAAGACAGGGAGACACAGTTTTTCTTTTCTTTTTTTTTTAAATTCAATGTTTGGAATACAGTAAGCATTAATAAATGCTTGTTGCCTGACCATTGTATATTCTTCACACGCTTGTTGTGAGGATCCACTGAAATAAGACAATTAAGATAAGTGAAATAAGCCCTTTGGAGACATGAAAGAATGATATAAATGTCAACTTTGGGTCTGATCAATCTGTTACTTTTTTGAATTTGACAACTGACGGCTCATGTAACAGTCACGCCTGAGGGATTTCCCACCTACAAAGCTTTGGCTGCCAAGGCAAAGGTGAAATTGGAAAGAGCTGAAGAACAGGCAGACTAAGGACTGGCCCCATGTTTGGGAAGTAGTGTTGGACATGGGCCAGTGCACCGGAATTAACAAAGAGAAGAAATAAAATGAAATAAATTTGGGCAGTGGTGTCTGGTTGGGGATATTGATGTGTTCATCTGTCTATCCCTATTTCATTGAGCTCTTGTATGAGGCTGAGGGGACTGTGCCAGCCATGATCTTCAGAGATGATTCACACCATCAATACCATCACCCTTTACATTTGGTGGTGGAACTTGAGTTGTTCTGGACAAGATCGCAACTAATTAAGGTAGCAGGAGCTGGCCAGTGTTAATTCTAGCCATGAGTGACTGTCTCTCTCTCTGTCTCTCTCTGTCTCTCTGTCTTTCTCTGTGTCTCTGTCTCTGTCTGTCTCTGTCTCTCTCTCTCTGTCTCTCTCTCTCTGTCTCTCTCTCTCTCTCTCTCTCTCTCTCTCTCTCTCTCTCTCTCTCTCTCTCTCTCTCTCTCTCTCCCCCCCCCCATAGCAGGAGAATGAGGTTTGAATTGGAGCACTGGGATTATGTGCTCTCAGGTCAGGACAAAATGCTAGATTTTTCTTTTGGGTGGTTGAACTGTGAACCAAGAGGCTAAATCCACATGCCCTCAACTTCAAACAACGGCTAGTACCAAAGAGAAAGGGGACAGGGAGAGGAACCGAAACTCTCCGAGATGTTTAAGAACTTGACATTGTTTTATTCTTTGTAATTTTATTCTCAGAACTTGGCAGCGATTAGCACATAATAGGCACTCATTGGTTGATTTGACTGGCTGCATGTGGGCCCATTACTGCATCAGGCAACTCACTAGCAGCTCCCCCTTGTGGTTAAGCACAGTTTTGTTAAACCTTTCCATAGTCTACTGTGGAAAGCTTGTGATGTAAGTGGCAGAATAAAGAAAACCAAGAAACCGCCACAAAAATATTTTTTTCAGAAAGATTTGTGTTGTTTTTTTCTATTAATTTTATGGGAGCTGAAACCCACATGAGCAATATTTATACCCTTTATTTGATCTGCAAAATATTTGATTTAATGGGGGAATGTAACAAATACTGCATGATAATAAGAATAATATTGACATCAAATAACATTAAAAGGATATTTTTTCTTTTAATATTTCCATTTTCAAGAAAAACAAATCCCTAAAGACATTCCTTCTGTATTGGAATGTTCTTTTCATCCACCCCATCCCCATTTCTAATATCCTGCTAGCCTTCATAACTTAGCTGAAATACACATCTTCCATGAGACCTTCCCTGTATCCTCAGCCGGAGACAAACTCTTCCACTAAACAAGCCCCAATACTAGCTTGTTTGTCCTTTTCTTGTTTTTTTTTTTCATTACAATGGAAGATTCTAAAGAGGAGGAACTATTCTTTTATTTTTGTATCTCTAGCATCTAGCACAGTTCCTGACATCAATTCCTTAATGAGGAACTCCCCCAGCCAGTGGATAGCACCACTTACCAATCTTAGTATATAATTCTTAGAATTCTTAGAGAGTTGCCTGAGGCTCAGAGAGGTGGTTAAGCCATCTTCCTCACGGTCACAAGCTGGTATCAGAGTAATGGTTAAATCCAGATCCACCATGCTAGACTATCTCTGATGCCTTGTTATATAGGAAAAGGTTACTAAATGGCTGTTGAATTTCTTGATCATATCCTTTTGTGTGTTATAGTTTTCTGGGTATATGCTTTATCTACCATACCAGATTATAAACTCTTTGAGGGTAGAAACTGTGCTATATTTATCTTTGTATCTCCTTCAGGGTCTCTCATGATCTATTGAATAATGGGTGGTATTAAGAAGATAATTAATATAATACATGAGTCTAGAACAATGTTGTCCTCGCTATCATAAAACAAGATGCTATGTTTGTTAAATAATAAGAAAAATGGTCTTCAAAATAAGGGCCTGGATATTTCACATTTTTTTTCACAGATGCACACATACATAATCACTCTCCACATTGTCTCTTACACAGAGTACTTAAATGATAACACAGAATCACAGGACTAAGGGAACAAATCTTTTCTTAAGGTAGGCAGATATGGGGGCAAATAGAAAAGCAGTGGTGATACCCAGTTCTCCTGAATTAGCCTGAGTATTGTGGACATTTCTCAGACTTCTTGCTACCTAGAATAGCTTCCTCTTTTTAAAATAGGGTATTTGATGGAGTTCCCCTGTCTTGTCTGCTGAGGCAGCCTGCTGTTGCTGGGCCCTCACTGGTACGCTGTCCATTGCCAGCGTCTGTCTTCTTTTCCTGTGGAAATAAAAGATATGGGCAAGAGAAAAGACATATTTGGTAATGCTTCACTCTCAAGCTTCCTGCTCTGGGGGCTGCCTCAGCTGCAAAATGTTAAAAGAGCTTAAAAAAAATAGTAACCCTCCAACTTGGAATGAATTCCAGACAGACCCTAATGCCTGAAAATTTGTCAGAGGAAGCCAAATCCAGAAAAGCAGAACATGAAGAAGGTTCATTATTCGACTTCAAGAGACACTCAAATAATCCAACATTCTGGTATTTATGATTTTTCTCCATTTCAGTTGGTTTGTAGTTCACAACATTCCCCTCCCCTTACCGCTGATTCCGACCTTCCTTTTAAATTAAACATCGACAGTTATAAAAAGACCTTCACATTACTTGTAAGCCACAAGCGCTGCTGGGAAACAGTCTGTTGATACAGGGTTGCCTATGTCAGGGAAGTGTGCAATTCCTTGGAATATTAGCCTGGGGAGGCAGTTGGTGATGAGAATGCTTTTCCTGACCAGCCAGCCCTGTACTCTTGCTCTTCTCACCCCGTCTTAATGTCATTGATCAGGAATCCTTAACCTAGGGTCTGTGGCTCCTTTTTTGTTTTGATAACTGTATTTCAATTGGTTTCCTTTGGGACCTTATTCGTTTCATTTCAAGCATTTCAAAATATTCTTCTGAGAAGGAGTCCATAGGTTTCACCATTTGGCTAATCCTAATTCCAAGGCAGTTGGGTAGGATGGTGATTAGAACACTGGGCCTGGAGTGAGGAAGAACTAAGTTCAAATCTGAAATCAGATACTCACCACACACATATGACCATGAACAAGTTATTTAACCTCTGTCTACCTCAATTTTCTCAACTGTAAAATGGGGATAATAATGGCACCTACCTCCCAATGTTGTTTTGAGCATCAAATAAGTTAATGTTTTGTAATGTACTTAGTGTTGTGCCTGGCATATGGAAGGCATTTAATGAATACTCATTCCCTCTTTCTCTTCCACCAAACTGCCCAAGGATGCATAATGGAAAAAAGGGTTAAGAAACTCTGAGAGTGATACAGTTACCTTACATATACAGACAAACACTCACACAGATAGAGCAAAAAGATTCCATTTTTCTTGTATTCTACATTGGTTTAACAAGAAAGATGGAATATCAGGTAGGTTTATCCTGACCCTTGAAGCTCAAATAAGATTATAGACCACCAAATCTGTCAATAAACTCCTTAGTACTTGAGTATTCATGCTGACACTTTCTCATTTATTAGAGCCACTGCCACATGCTGGAAGAAGGCAAAGAAATGGAATGTATTCCCCAAACCAACTTGAATGGCTACATATGTTTTTCCCCTTCCCTTTCTTCCTTGTCTCAGTTGATTGCCAAGATATGTATTTATATTTGGTTACCTTACATCCATACTTGGGTGCTCCAATAAACCCTGAGGTATCCATGTGTCCATTTTAGTCAGTGGTGGAAGTGCCCACATGAGAACTTAGGAGTCCAGATTTGAAATGTGGCCTCTCTGTGTGTCAAAATCAGGGCTTTTTTTTTTTTTAAACTGTCCAGCTCATCTCCCTTGGTGCTCCTCAACAGTCTAGGGTTTGTGTGAGTTCCATGGTGACTGACTGTGTTAGGTCACAAACATTAGACTGTGGCATCACTCAGTGAGTCAGACTAGAGGAAGGCTGGGTTGGAAATAAAAATGAAGGTTTCTGTTTGCACTCAGATAGCTTCCCACCCCAACCTTAATCATAGTATGTGTGGGTGCAGGGAAAGCCCTCCCTGCCCCACCTCTAGGCATAGATTCAGAAACCTGGACTGTACTAGTAAGGGTTAGGAAAATCCATCCCTGTGGCACACCACCTTTTCCTCCCCCACATGACCTAGCCATGACTCTGACAGGATACCTACACATCTGAGAGGAGCAAAAAAAAAAGTTTCCAATGAGAGAATTACAAAATCTTACCACTAGAAGTGATCTTTGAGTTTAAACAGCCCAGCTCCCTCATTTTAGAGATGAGGTAACCTAGAGGCAGAGAAGTATAATGACTTGCTCAAGGCCATATTTAAGTAACACAGGCAGGAGTAGAAGTAGTGTTCCAACATTCTCCAGTCTAGTCTGAGTATTACTACTAGCAATGCAGTTTTCATTATTCTTTGGGAGAATAACTCTCCCAGGTGATGTCCATGGTCTCAAATTTTAAACCTTAGTGCATTCTGCAGTCTAATCTAGGTCTTACATTGGTCTACACATTCCTTACCAAGGTCACATATTCATGTATCTTTTTTGTCCTCAAACTTTTTCTGCTTCAATGATAAAGCAATAATTGATAATATCCTGCCTGTGTGAAGACATGGGAATAGATCAGATGATCCTTGAGGGATATTCTGGCTCTATAATGAATAATTCATTGATGTTATTGACATGGTTATCAACTCAGTCTTTAACATTACCTATAAGTGATCTATAGTCACTTGTAACTGACCAGAAATGCCACAATTCACCTAAATGATTTCTCTTTTGGGAAATGGGTAGTGTTCTCTTCCATCTATGATGCTTTATGAACGTTCATTCTTTCCACAGAGAATATATCTGTATGTGTATGTATGTACGTATTTGGGAGAGAGAACTCCACATTAATTGAAGACATGTTCTGTTGCTATTTTTATTACTTGAATACATTTATGTTGAAGTAAGTGTGTCTTTTGATTGGCTAGTAAAAGCAGAAACATTGGTGGGGGTTCATGAGAGATGATTATGACTCAGAAAGTACTTAGAAATTGAGGTAGTTTCCTGGGTTGGAGAAAGACACTGGGTGAGGGAGATTCTATGTGCTACCCTTGTAAAGAAAGAATGATTGGAAACCTCATTACTCTCTATGTTTTTGCCTCTTTTTTAGAGATTCTCAGGAATGAAAAACAGAACTTTAAAGAGAAATAATTCAGTAAGTCATAAACTTAGATAACTAGAGCTGGAATGGACCTCAGAGACCATTTGATCCAAACCAGGGATGGGGAACCTACAGCCTTAAGGTTACATGTGGCCCTCTAGGTCCTCAAGAGTAGCCCTTTGACTGAATCCAAAACAGAACAAAAGGGATTTATTCTATGAAGTCTAGATTCAGTCAAAGGGCTGCACTTGAGTACCTAGAGGGCCACATGCGACCTTAAGGCTACAGGTTCCACACGCCTGCTCCAACCTCCTTCTTTGCTGATGAGGAAACTGTGGTCCAGGGACATTGGTGACTTTCCCAAGGATCTGCTAATAGCAAATCAGATCTCTGGCTCTAATTTCATCATGCCTTCCATTGTCCTACACTGCCTCTGGAGATGATATCCAGCACATTTGCTAAAATGAAACCTCTTTCCTCCCATTTCTAAATTTTGCATCCAAGAGCTTATCCTATATGTCATTTCTGATGGAATTCATTAGCTATCCCCAAATTTGGGCTTTTTGAGAGTACTGGCAACCAGTCAGGAATCGGTGTACACTAGCCTACTGTCTTTATTGGAAGGGTAAAATGGTCAGCTAATGAAAACAATGCTTGTCACTACTTTTAGAATTATGAAATATTCTCCCCTTCTGCCAACCTGTCCATCTCTTATCTTCGAAGTTATGTTGGACCCAAAAGAAAACATTCCACCATGACCATTTGGTTATAGAGTTTCAGAGGAATGCCAGGTAAAACCACAGGGACACTGGTGAAAGAAATTTAACACAGTTTCTATTAACAATAGCTAACATTTAAATGGTAAAGTCTAGTTGTTTTTCATCTCTGCTCAGAACAGGATTAGAGAAAATAGATTTTAAAATATTGCAAGTGAGGTTTAGGCCAGACATAGGGGGAAAAATTCTGGCAAAAAGGCTATTAAAGGAAATCATGGAGTTGCTATTTCTAAGTCTTTAAGAATAGGATTGACTAGGGTCTATCTTGAATAGTTTAGGTTTTGTTCTGCCTAGAGAGGAGGTAGCATGTGGTGAGGGGGAAAGGGAAGAGGGGTGGGGGAAGAGGAAACACTGGTTAAGCTGACCTCCTAAGGTTGTTCAAAGATCTGGACTTCTAATGATCTTTGAAAAATAGTGTGCTGTTTTGGGGTGGGTGGGGTAGGTGGGTGAGATGGTCACTCAATTTCCATTAAAGGAGCTGTTTGTAATCAGTCTGCTACGAAAAGTCAGGCAGCTACTTTTGGCACAAAACACAAAGATATGCAAAAATGCAGCTTCTCTCCTACCTCCTTTGAGTTGGCTGCTATAGCTCATGCATTCTAGAAATGCTTTTATAAGGATTCTGTTTATTGCAGGAGCAGAATCGAGACAGAAACATGAGACACTCTGGGGAAAAGGCTGGCTGAATATCTCATTTTTTGGAAGGATACTCCTAAGTTTGAAGGGAAGTACTGGAGAGGAAATGCTATTTAAGTGAGATAATTTCTGCTCACTCACAACAACAACAAAAGAATCTTATGACCCAGCAACATGTTCCAGGACCAGTCTAAAGTCAAATACTTCCAGGGAACCTCCCCACAGTCCCTATTACAAAGGACAGCATTAATTTGATATGTAAGTTTCATTCCACCACATATACCTTACTCCTCAAGGCCAGAAATTTCTCTGGAATCTAACTATGAGTTTATTAACTTCTCCCTAGAAGAATATTTCATCTATAAACAAAAACAAATACCTTTTATTTTGTATTTGTTTGTGTCTCTCCCCACCCCCCCAGTCACACAGTCACTAGAAATACATTATTGTGCTGTGTCCAGTGGTATAGGCTCCATCAAGCAGACAAATAAATGTTCATTGTCTGCTCTGTGGCAGATACTGTCTTTGGTGCTAGAGATATAAGGACAAAAGTGAAACAATCAGCCAATAAACATTTATTAAGCACCAGTTGTATGCCGGGCATGGTGCTAAGTGCTAGGGATGCAAAGAAAGGCAAAAGACAATCCCTGCTGTTAAGGAGCTCAGTCTAAACATGTTCTGCCTTCAAGGAGTTTACATTTTAACCAACGAAATTACATGTATCCATAGTCTGCATAATACATATAAATCATATCTAAATGCAAAGTAACTTTTGTTGTTATTGAGCCATTTTCTAGTCCTGTCTGACTTTCATGACCCCCTTTGGGGTTTTCTTGGCAAAGATGCTGAAGTGGTTTGCCATTTCCTTCTCCAGCTCATTTTACAGATGAGGAAACTGAGGCAAACAGGATTAAGTGAGTTGCTCAAGGTCACACAACTAGTAAGTGTCTGAGGTTGGATTTGAGCTCAAGTCTTCCTGATTCCAGGCCTGGCATCTGTACCCACTGCACCATCTCGTTGCCCCAAGGTAACTTTAGAGGGGAAAAAAAAAAGACATCGACAGCTAAAAAGGTCAGGTAACAGCAACAACAATAGCAGTAGTATTTATACTAGTATTTATATAGTGCTTTAAGGTTTGCAAAGTACTTTACAGTATTATCTCATTTGATCCTCACAACTCATACACATAAATGAATAAATTCACAAACACATCAATCATGAATTGATAACTTCTCATGGCTAGAATGGGCACTCTCAGTATTAGCACTGGGTTCAGAAGAATCCACCTCATCATCTTGACATATTACTGATGCATAGCTATATCAGGGACTAGAATACAGGAATATAATCAAGCTTTCCTAAGGAGAAGCCTTTGAAAAGGGAACGCTGTTCATCCCAAAGGGCTTCCTTGTTACACTAAATCAACTTTTAATTCTACATGTTCCCTAAGTCCTATTTTCTTTAATTACTCACCTGAAAATAGTTAAGACCAGCATAGGAAGGTTAGGCTGAAAGGGTTGCCATAGTAGAGAAAGCTAGATGACACAGTACAAAGTTCGCTGCATTTGAAGTCAGGAAAAGGTGAATTCAAATCCAGCCTCACACTGGCTGTGTGACACAGGAAGTCATATAACCTTTCTTTGCCTCTACTACTTCACCTGTAAAAAGGGAACAATAACTGTACTTACCTCACAGGATTGTTTTAAGGATCCAATGGTAGGACATATGTAAAGTGCTTTGAAAACCTTAAAGTGCTATTTAATTGATAGTTATTCTATACCTCAAGCCTGAAAATGATCTCTCCCTCAGTTTTGCCCTTTTCAAAAAGGAGGGCGTTTGGACTAAATTATCTTTTCCAACTTGAACATTTTATTGAAAGATGGCATAGTTAATAATGTATGGGGAAAATCTGTTATTTTCTATACTACAAGCCAGTTTAGAGTTGATAGCATAATAGGACAAAGGGTTGGGCTCTGAGGGCCATAAAAGAGCATAGTGCCAGAGGTAGTATAGTGTAGTAAACAGCAAATCAGCCTTGAAGCCGAGAAGACCTGGGTTCAAATCTGGCCTCAGACCAAATATTTGACACTTACTAGCTGTGTGACCATGGGCAAGTCTCTTAACCCCAATTGCCTAAAACCCAAAACCAAAACAAACAAAAAAAGAGTTACAAGGGGAGGAAATTCCAACTAGAAGCAGAGTTTAGCAACTCTTTTAAGGTACAACTCTTTTAAGAGAAGTGAAACTTAGAGTTTCAGAGAAGGTGCTAAACTCTGCTTCTAGTTGGAATTTCCTCCCCTTGTAAC